GTTGATATATTGATTTGTTCAATGCGTTAGGACAGAAACATGATCCAAATGATTGGCGCCTGTTCATTGATTCTTCTAAGCTTAGTTTAAAAGCGGTATTGGTACACAACGGTAATAAATATCAAGCTGTACATATAACGCACGCAGTTCTTCATATGAAGAAATCATATGAAAATATGCGAGTTCTGTTAGAGCATATATGTTATAATGAATATGGATGAGCCATATGTGCAGATTTAAAGGTAATAGCCCTTTTTCTTGGAATATAACTGGGATATACCAAATATTGTTTGTGAATGTAACAGTCGTCATTATGAACAGAAGGAGTGACCTCAAAAACATTGCTTACTAGTTGATCCCAAAAACGTGTTGCGTCCACCTTTGCATATTTAGTTGTGACTGATGAAAAATTTTGTGAAAGCTATGGATCGAAATTGAAGAGTGTTTCTAGGCATTTAAAACAAACATTTCCGAGACTTAGTGAGGCAAAAATTAAAGAGGGCATATTTGTGGGTCCACAAATACGGAAAATCATGAGGGACGATGTATCTAAATGACACTGAATTACGAAAAACAAAGGTCCTAAAATACTACCCTGTGTCACACCTCTGGTAATACTACGAAATTAAGATATGTGCCCACTAAATTCTGATCTGCCTGACAGATAGCTATTAAAGAAATCTACAGCCATACTGTTTAGTCCCAGAGATATTTAAGTTTCGGGCATAAGATTGAATGATCTATTGTATCAAAAGCTTTACTGAAATCGAGCAAAATCAAGCAACTGTACATCTTATTGTCACATGCCCTGAATAACTCATCTGTAATGGTAATGACTTGACCTTATCACAGATTTAGAAATGATAACAAAATATTCAAAAAATGTTTGATCCCGTGAAAGCTGAAATTTGTTGTTTTGGTTGAATTAAAAATTCAAAAAACTAATAGACGCAATTATACTAGAAGATGGTACTATCGTTCAAATTTTAGATGAAACAAAAGCTTTGGGAGTACTGCTAGACACAAATTTAAGTTTTGAATGTCACGTGATGAACAAACTCAAATCATGTTATTGTAAATAAAAGGCTTTGGAAATATAAACACATATTTTCAAGAGATATTGAATAAATACTTGAAAACCCATTGATCCTTACATTTTTGGATTATGATGTCATAGTATATAAATTTCTCGCAAAGGAAATGAAACAAAACATTTGACAGAATTGTTGCATCATATTTTGTTATAATTATATACGTAAACATCCTTGGTTACTATGTGAGGGAAGACATTTTAAAATACAGTATCGTCCATTCCTTTTTTATGGTGTTCCACCGTGTAAAGTTTAAAAATATAAATCTCCTAATTATCTGTATAATGTTTAAGAGAAGAGGTCCTCTGTTCGGCATGTTTTTCTAAGAAGCGATTATTGTTATAATATTCCATGCTATGAAACAAGTTCAGAAAAGCTTCACTTACATAGCATCTTGTTTGTTGAGTAAATATTTAGAAATTTTCCATTTTGCTTCCCGTCAGGTGTGGACTCTAGGCATAGTTCTAGGGGTTTGTTGTTTGTTGAATTTACAATAAACTTGACCAGGAAATTAAGTGCAGTTAGTCGAATTGTTTGAAGGACTATTTAGTTGATAATGTTAACAGGGTGTTCCATAACTCCATAGCACACATGTATTTTTTTCAAATAAAACATATTTCATTGCATGTTTCGATAGAGCTTCTAAAACCAAGAAGTTTGGTATCATGTAAGATATGATTTCGATTGTCAATTGTTTAGATATTTGGTGGAATTTCCGAGGAAATGTCCAGTTTTGATGGCTTTTGGATATAGGTACGTACTTAAATAAGATTTGGTTCAAATTTTATCACCATTGATTTTAAGCTGACCTAAAAGAAATGCTAAAATATACTAAGTGACATATAAATCCGAACACCCAGTTTATATGGTTTTATTTTAATAAAATTTTGTAGAAGTACTTAATGAAGCATAATAAGTAAATGATAAAATAGGGTAAAAGATGGGGTTCTAGAACTTCGTGGATATAACGCTGTGCGTTCATGTTACCTCTGATGAAGATTAAAGGTGACCTGGAACCATAAGCTATAGCACCCCAAACCATAACTCCAACAGTGTGATGAACATGTCTTTCAACAAAAAACTGTGGATTCCTCCTTTCACCACGTCGTCTTCTAACCCTGGCACGACCATCGGGCATGCCTAAACAAAATCGAGACTCGTCACTAAAGACAATACTGTTCCATTCCTGATCCCAGAGTGACCGTGGTCTGTACCACTCAAGGCGATTACGTCGGTGTTCTCGAGTTAAAGGGAGGACCCAGTGTGGCCGGTATGAAAACAAGCCAAAACTTCTCATTCGTCGGTAAACACTTCGCACGCCAATAGGTCTTCCGTGTTCTGCAAACCATTCATTTGCAGTGGACCTGGTAGTGGAGAAACGGTCCCTTAAGGCCAATAATCTTAGGCGGCGATCTTCACGGTCTGTTGTTCTACGGCGGCGTCCAGTGCCCCTTGCTCTTTGCGTATGGCCTTCTCGAAGCCATGCCTGACAACACCTAACCACAGTGTCTACAATTCTTTGTACTCTAACTGCAATTGCCCGAAAAGATAGTCCAGCTTTCCGAAGTCCCACTATACGGCCCCTATCAAACTCACTAAGTTGACGAAATCGTACAGGTCTCCGTACTCTAGTCATCGTAACCGATCGTAAAGGATGTCAAGAACCAAAATCCGCCAACGTTGATCCTTTACTGCGGCTGAAATATTCATTTTTAGAGCGTTAGTGAATTAAAAAAAAGCAGTATAAAAATCGGAATGTCCAACTGATAAGGCTGAAAATTTTTTCACTTGTTATTTACAGCAAGATAAATACATTCACCAACTTTTATTAAAATAAAACCATTTAAACTGGGTGTTCAGATTTATATGTCACTTAGTATATCTTGCTATTTATACAGAGTATTTCAAAACGCAAAATGTACCTTTTCTCATAAATTTCAAATGGAACACCCTGTACATTTTAAATAGCTTTCGTTGGGAACTTTTCTTGATATGAGGTTCAACCAGTTTTTTTTTTGTAAAGATTTCGTGTTATTGCTATTAATTCCAAGAAAAACAAGATACACGAATTGCACATAAATATCATAAAAGCTATTGTTTTAATAATAGCAATAGCTCAAAAACATTTGACAGTCGTACAAACCTTATATCAAAATCGCCAAAAGAATGGTTCGACGATGTAGAAATATACAGGGTGTTTCATTTGAGATTTCTAAGAAAAGACTCATTTTGAGTTTTGGGATACCCTGTATCAGTGTAAGGAAATTTCAGCTCAAAACCGAAGATGGCAAAATTTTTGTGAACTGAGATTTATCTGAATATCGCCAGAAATGGTGGAACTGTGCATTTTTGAGACGTTTGGCCACATATCAAAACCATATGTTACATATCAACTTCTTAGTTTCATAAGCTCTATTCAAATATATAAAATACAGGGTGTTCTACTTAAAACAACGTATGTCCGCTATGGCGCGAAGTACGTATATATATTAAAATAATTTAACATATCACATTATTGACTCATTCTCCAGTTTGCCCATAAAGCTACTATCCATTTTCGTTTGGAGACCCTGCATATCATATTCAGGAATAAAAGGCTCTTATAGTTTTGAACTAATACGCCTAAAGAGTGCTGTATTTTCTTATATACCTACGATGCAAAAACGATCACGCGTAGACATCTTCCTAAGAATACTGATTCAAGGAAACTTCTTTAGGGCTTGATCAAGCAGAATTTCCCATCTAATGCTACTAATCTCATAAATGAAAAAATCCTCTCGCGGTGGAGGCAACTCGGACATTCGAGGTAGCGTCGACGAAGCGGGATGCCCGAAATATATTTTTATTCCAAAATTCATCTGCCCAAGTCTGAAGCAAAAATTCATTCATTTTTAGATTCCAATAAGAGAAACTTTGACAAAAAAATCTCGGGTGAGTTCAAACTTGTACTGAAGGCGGATCACATATTTTCCCTCTCCCCTCCCCATAAGCTCGGCAGCTACAGTGTTGCCAAATTGAACGCTACATTGCCAGACTCATCACTTAATTTACAGACTTCGCATTTCAGTCATCAGAGATGTCCCCTAACATTTACCCTTAAAACTTAAAAATATCTCCAAGAGTCGCGTGTCGTTAGGAGCGAGGTATCCGACTGATGGTCGTGCTGCTGTTGGCTGTATGCTGTAAAAGCCAATATCGTTTTTTTTTTTGAGGGGGGAATGCGTTTATGCACCATACTCGAGCTACGGCGTGTGTGGGATTCCAGGTTGTCTTGAGGAAACCACCTAATACCCACTAAACCCTAACCTCCGCGTGGCCCGACTCATCAGCGTCTCGGTAGGCCATGTGTTGTGCGTCTCCTCATGTGTTTCAGTCTCTGGGAACGCCGGGTTGGTTCCCTTTACCTCACACAGTTCTACCGGTGTCGTTAAGCGAGCATCGATATAGGGTTTGCTATGTTCTCTTGAAAATCTTGTTTTCGAAAAATCAAGAGTTTCAAGTCCTCTACTACTTGTATGTTACCTAGTCCTGATGGGTCCTGGTCCTGGTCCTGGTTGGTCCTGGTCCTGGTAGGTCCTGGTCCTGGTGGTGGGCTATGGCTGACCCCTGGGGCACGCCCGCTTCCAGCTGTCGTCTTGTTGAGTGGCATGTACCAATCTTCGCCGTGGCCAATATCGTCATCCATGCGGGATTAGTTATAGCAACGGTCATGTGCGCCCACAGAGATTGTGAGGAGGAAGGTCATTTAAAGTTTTATTATAACATTCATATTCGTAACTTTTTTGCAAACTTGTAACTTGTGCTGAACAAGTTTTACCTTGATGGTCAACAGGAACCTAACCTCATTTCATTTGTTACAGCACATAGGCATCCTGGGCTCCCCCTCAGACCCCCTGCGTCCCCACCAAGATGGCGTCCGCCCCCGGAAGCGACACCGCTTCTGTGAAATCGACGCCTCGCGTCAAGACGCCGGACGGCCGCAAGGTAGGCTTCGCCAGGCCTTCTTTGATCATCCCTCCGCCTCAGGCTCAAAGGACCTACGGCCCCCACAGTGCCCATACAGCTCACATGACAGGGGTGCCGCTCACAGCAGCCAGCATCGGGCCTCAGCACGGCATGTACGGACGGAAAGCCTCCATGTTCGTCTTCGATCAAATCCACGGACTCAAGGACTTTACGATGGCGACGGCCAAGTCCGGACTTGGCATCGGCGAGAAGTGCTCGTATTGGGTTTACAATAAGATCAGCGCGTGGAGTCGGAAGTGGTTTACGCATTTTTTCTTGTCTATAGTGTTGGTGTTGTATACTATTTGCGGGGCTCTTACTTTCATTTATATAGAAGGTAAGTTCAAGATAGCATCTTAGGATCTACCGCTTGACCGGAGAGACCGGCATAAACTATTTTTTTACGCTAAGTACGTGCCCTTTCAGGAGCAATTTAGCTTTTTGCGCTTTTGAACGTTCCATTCGGAAACTGTTATAATTTCAAATCAAACCAATAACAGTTGCCAACACGCGTTGCATATAGTTAGTGACTTCTATTTCCCAGCATCTATGATTCATTGATATAAGTAGTCTATGCGAGTATTGTAGAGGATGAGAAGGCCTTCAAAATAAGGCATTACATGTTCAAACTAATAATACAACTTTCATTCGTCCGATCTCAAATAGCCAACCATGGACCGCTGTTTTGTGCTATTTGGCAACCACTCAGCATTTTGTATTCCTCGACTGGGTGGGCAATGAGCGGAATCTGAGCAGCTTTACTCTATGTTAGGGATATTTGGGCTGGCTTTATTGTAAGGCGAGTCTGACTTGTCGCTTGCCTACTGCGCGCGCGTGCGCTGCTAGGACAATAAAAGGAAGAGAGATACTAGCTCGGAGAGACCACGCAGATACGCCGCAACCCGCGTCCCGTGAGAATATATATACCCGCAACCGCATACAGTGAGACCGCGTGTCTCCGCAGCAACCGCATATAGTCAGAAACCGTATATACGCAGCAACCGCAACCGCTCCTGCATCCCAGCCGCTATACAGACCACTCTAACACTCTATTTATCGAAATACGACATCACAAAGTGCCATCTATAACCAGAATCGACCACTGCAAAAGTGAAAACAGCAAACTTTCTATTGTAACTGTATCCCAGTTCGCATTGTCAGCCGAGTTACCACTGTGACCGATAGATGCCGCGATACTTGCCATTGAATATATACTAAGCGACATATAAATCCGAGTACCCAGTTTAAATGGTTTTATTTTAATAAAATTTTGTATAAGTACTTAATGAAGCATAATAAGTAAATGATAAAAATTTCAAAATGATTGCACTGCTTTAAAGCACTTTGACCTTTAATAATCTGTGGATGCACCCTGATGTGCTACGCATTCTCCAACGCGCCTAGGCATGCTTCTGATCAGGTGGTCAATGTCCTCCTGTGGTATCTCATTCCAGGCAACCACCAACTCCTCTCGAAGTGCTTCTAGAGTCTGAGGAGGACGTTGCAAATTGAGCAATCTCCTACCCATCATATCTCACACGTGCTCAATTGGGGACAAGTCGGGAGATCTTGGTGGTCATGGTAACAATGTGACATCATTATGTTGAAAGAAGTCTATTGTGACTCTTGCAACATGTGGTCGGGCATTATCTTGTTGGAAAGTTGGATCTGCCAGGGTGTCAAGATAGGGTGACAGATGAGGTTCTAGAACTTCGTGGATATAACGCTGCGCGTTCATGTTACCTCTGATGAAGATTAAAGGTGACCTGGAACCATAAGCTATAGCACCCCAAACCATAACTCCAACAGTGTGATGAACATGTCTTTCAACAAAAAACTGTGGATTCCTCCTTTCACCACGTCGCGTTCTAACCCTGGCACGACCATCGTGCATGCCTAAACAAAATCGAGACTCGTCACTAAAGACAATACTGTTCCATTCCTGATCCCAGAGTGACCGTTGTCTGCACCACTCAAGGCGATTACGTCGGTGTTCTCGAATTAAAGGGAGGACCCAGTGTGGCCGGTATGAAAACAAGCCAAAACTTCTCATTCGTCGGTAAACACTTCGCATGCCAATAGGTCTTCCGTGTTCTGCAAACCATTCATTTGCAATGGACCTGGTAGTGGAGAAACGGTCCCTTAAGGCCAATAATCTTAGGCGGCGATCTTCACGGTCTGTTGTTCTACGGTGGCGTCCAGTGCCCCTTGCTCTTTGCGTACGGCCTTCTCGAAGCCATGCCTGACAACACCTAACCACAGTGTCTACACTTCTTTGCACTCTAACTGCAATTGCCCGAAAAGAAATTCCAGCTTCCCGAAGTCCCACTATACGGCCCCTATCAAGCTCACTAAGTTGACGAAATCGTACAGGTCTCCGTACTCTAGGCATCGTAACCGATCGTAAAGGATGTCAAGAACCAAAATCCGCCAACGTTGATTCTTTACTCAGGCTGAAATATCCATTTTTAGAGCGTTAGTGAATTTAACCGGAATGTCCAACTGATAAGGCTGAAAATTTTTTCACTTGTTATTTACAGTAAGATAAATACATTCACCAACTTTTATTAAAATAAAACCATTTAAACTGGGTGTTCGGATTCATATGTCACTTAGTATATGAGAGAAGACCATAATTCACTTTATGCAGAATAATACATAACCGTGAATCTGAGATAATAGCCGGCATCGTTGAGAACTCTTCTGTAGACAACTCACACCAATGCTTCAAAGACTTTGGATATACACGAAATCGTCATTGCTTCAGTTTTTTCGTAATATTCTTCACCATAAATAACTATTTGTGTCCCTAGATGGGCGATTTTTCTTTCACTTTTAAGAACAATTCGACTGTGAAACTCGTCTATGCAACTGTGTCTGTTAGACTAGTCTAAAAGTGATTTTTTCAATGCCGTTTGCTACTCATTTTTCAAATATCCCAACCGTAAGTAAATCATTAAACATCAGCTTACCTTGACGTACTGGTAAAGTCAGTGTTCGTATCTTCTTGTGGACTACTTACAGGCTATAGTATAGAAGACATGCTACTGACAGTGAAATAAAAAAATTTAATGGAATAATTGCCCCATTACTTGCGTTAAAACTAACCTCATAAAGGTATACAATTTTATCATTTTTCTACTTTAAATCGTTGTTCGTCATTAAGCGAACCAAGGCAGATTGGATTTAAATCTAGGCGAACCATTTCAGGAAGCTGAGGTATGCTGATTTTCTGTCTATTTAGCTTTAAAGCCTTGTTGTCGGCACAAAGCACACAAATGAGCTTCCGTTTGATTAAGTAGTCTCACGGTCTGTGATTCGGAATTTACTAAGGTCAGAAAATCATGGGAAAAAATCAAGGAAGATCTATACCTCCTGTAACAACCCTCTATGGATGCGACTATGTAGATTCTCAAACCTTTCAAATATAAGCTTTTTGACTTGAAATAGTTCGACCCCAAATTTTCATAAACGTTTCACATCAACTTTTTGAGTAACTTATTACCGTAATTCCACTTGGGACATCCTTTATACATATTAGCTCCTGCCTTCAGGAGAAACAAGCTTGTCATGGTTTGTATCAATGGATACTTGCTAACACAGTCTCGCGAAAGCACCATTTTTACCGTCGAAAGTAACACTGGTAACTAATTTGTATAAAATCGACTGTGAGTGACTGCTTCTGCATCTGGTCGGGTATTTAGTCCCGATCGACGAGTCGAGAACCATTCCAGCGTTTTACAGGCCAAGTCGTGAACTTACCTGTAAGTAGTCTACATGGCAGCAGATTTATCTCCAGACGTGTCGAATACTCGCTACGGCTTCTTGAACGCAAGCATGCTCCTTACATGGTGGCGCAATTCCGGTAAAGCTCACATTCAGCGATAAGTATAATCATATAAATTTGTAGCCCAAACGCTTATATTGTGTAAAAATAGGCAGCTACATACAGCGCCTTATGCTTTTACAAAGTTTATATAAAAATGATTTACGATTTACTTTTATGAACAAACGTTCCTCATATACATATTGAACAGCGTTAAGAGTCACAGTAAAGCATAAAATAAAAGTTTATTTTATTACCAATAAATGCAGTTATCTTCTACTGCGAATGACAGATATCTTGACACAAGAAACAATAAATTGATGGGTTATTCTAATCATCCAAACCGTCTTTTGCTGGAATCTGAAATATCATTAGTACAAAATAATGAAGAAGATGGTAAAATAGTAGTGAAAACTGGATTGAAATGATTGACTGAGTGACATACCTCATTTTCAAAATTTTGTGCAGTTTCAATACTCCCTCGCACAGTAGCACAGGAAGTAAAAATACTAACCACTCGAGTGCAGTAACTGAAGAGAATCCAGATTTGATTATGCTATCAAGACGAATCTAAGGGAACCTCAAACGTCAAAATCCATCAAGCCGTTTAAACAGTAGCTCCTGAAATAGAATTTATTATCTACATATACAGGGTGGCGCATCGAAAACGAAACAGGCGCATTTACTGGCAGCTCAGTTTTTTTTTAACGTTCAGACCCGTCGATTTTGTTTCCGAGGGGGTCGCAAGTTTGGCAAAAAATCACGTTAGCGGGGTGGCACCAGCCCCAAAATCTTAAATAGAAAGGGGGGTCGAGTGATATCTTATTTTAAAGGTCTTTGAATTCCCTTTATAATGACATAAAATTAATGTACTTCAGTTCAGTAGTTTTGAAGATTTATTGATTTAAGTACAAACTAATCTGATGTACCTATTAAAGTATACTTTAAGCTTTAAATCAATAAACCTTCAAAACTACTGAACTGAAGCTCATGTACTCTACATCATTATGAAGGGAATTGAAAGACCTTTAAAAATGAGGTATCACTTAACCCCCCTTACCATTTAAGATTTAGGGTTGGTGTCACCCCCACCCAGGGAGCTGCACGTGTTAACGTGATTTTTTGTCAAACTTGTGTCCCCATCGAAAACAAAATCGACGGGTCTGAGCGTTTTTCCCAAAAAAAAAAAACCGAGCTGCCAGTAAATGCGTCTATTTCGTTTTCGATGCGCCACCCTGTATACACACGTGCCCAGGGCCGAAAAACATGACCCTCCTTCTGAGACATCCGAGTAAACAAATTTGAGTCTAATGAAATCTAATATAGTGATAAAAAATGTTAGTCAAGAAAAAATACCAATAGATGCCTCGACTGAGGAGGGAGTTATTGACTTTTCAGGTTATATTCTTCTTCGCTACGCGTTTTTAGGATAAGCATATAATCAACCAATAACGGACTGTATCTACAAATCACTCAATATTAGTATAAAACGAGGGGTAATCGGTAGGAAAATTATATTATATTATACTAAGTG